TCTAACCTTATCTACTTGCCTCAAGACCATGAGCACAAGGTTTATTGAGCTCTGCTGAGGGCAACTAGGAGGAACGGTGGTAAAACGCTCTGCCTTTACCCAGCTTTTTCACCCATAGAAAGCAATGCATAAACAACAGTAATAATAGTAATGGGACTAACTGCTTCTGCCGAAAGAAGCTGGGATAGGAAACGCTAGAGAAGGTTTGCTCAGGGAAGCCGGGGTGAGATGGTGACATTTGAACAGATACTAGAAGAAGATGCAACAGTGAGCCTCTGATTTGGGGGCAAGAGGGACAGGAGGGTGCAGGGAGGGGCTTCGCGCGGAGCAGGCAAGTCGGTGCCTCGGCGCTAAGGTATATAAAGGGGCACAGTGTTCTCAGGGTGCAGAGAAGGGGCTAGCCTGGGTACAGCAGAGCAAGAGGGCCGTGGGGACGAGGTTAGCGTGGTCAGGGATTAGATGGAGTCCCGAAGGCAGCTGTAAGGTCCTGGGCGTTCACTCCGACCTGGAGATCCTCTGCGGACCTAGTGTGTCTCTCCCTGAGAGTGCCGGGGTGACAGAGAGGAAAGGGGGAGGGGCCACACCAGCTGGCTGGGTTGCCCCTGTGGAGCGGCTTGGTGGAACTCAGAAGTGAGGGCTCAAGGAGAAGTGGGCTAAAAGAATGTTTTTGTTTTTTGCTGATGAATGGCTGTAGGGGGGAAGAGAGGCTCTTGGGAGGACGGGTGACACCACCTCGGTTCTGTCAAAGCCATGTCAGAATGAGGAGGGCCTGTCTGCCTGATTCCAGAGTTTTCGCAAGGAAAGACGAAGAAGCAATAATAGATGGGGCACGGGGATGGGGGGGGGCAAGAGCTCGCGTGCCCTTTGACCTTCGAAGCTACCTGCCAAGCCCTGAACTTCAAAGAAAGAGACAGGAAAGGCAGAATTGAAAACACAGAAATAGACTTGAAAAGACTTGTTCCGAGTTTTCTCTCCCCTACCCCCTCTTTCTCATTTTTTTCTCTCCAAGTGACTGGCTTCCTTTATATCTGTCTCTTTTGTGCCTTTTCCCCTCTATATTCCTGTATTCCTGTATGCTCAGGCTACGACAGTCTGGATCTGACCCCAAGCCCAAACAGTCCCCTTTGACAAGTGCCTATTTCAGGCTTGGTGGGAAAAAGTGAAGGGATTTCCAGGGGGCAGTTTTAATGAATTAACAGCAGGACAGAAGCCACGCCTACTCCCCTCTAGTGCACAAACCTCCAGGTTGTCTTACAGTACACATGGGACTGACTTCTGTTTTAGCTTGGAGGGACCCAGCCAAGGCTCTGGGTGACTGTGTTTCTTAAATAGCCTCATTCCCAAGAAGCCCTCAGCTCCCCTCTTTTCCTTCCAAGCTTCCTGGCCACCCCCTCACGCACCCTCCTGTGAGGACACTCAGCTGGTCCTCTTGTACATCTCAGATCAAACGAAACTATACTAAAATTGTGTACCAGGTTTGACGTAGGTGCCTCACGATCCGAGCCCAGTCTGCTATTTCCGAGACTTCTAAGTATACAAATATCTGTGGCTATATAAAAAGACAACACCTTCAGGGTTTGCACCCCAGCAAAGGATATTTTTAAGGCTGCTTTGAACCAGGCTAAAAAAAAATCACTCCATGGCTCACCTTGAAAAGTATTCAAAGGAGTCTCAATTCTTTCTTGCCAGACACAAAGCTACGGTATGGCAGTCTCTTACGCCCATCCCTCCGTGCCCCCACCGAAATGTGGACCTAACACTTAGAGGCGATTCTCAGAGGATTCCCTGAAACTCAAGCACCAACCCAACAGGCTGAACCAAGCAGACCTTGCTTTGTCGGGCTCTCCCTTCCACCTTCAGAAGTGTATTGCTGAGTGCTGGAGGTGGCCCTTGCTGAAAACTAAACTTCAAGAGAAAAAAAAAACCCCTTCAGACAAGGGTGCCGTCATCAGCACTCTGAATGAGAGTAGTCACCAGGGCAGAACAGTGGGACTAAACAAGATCAGGGGACAAACGTGAAGGAAAGAAACTTGAGAATTCCTTGCCAGCCTTGGGCAGCTTTGCCAGGCGGCACATGTGACTAAACCCCAAGAGAAAAAGGCCATAGAGCAGGTCCTTCTTTCAATAGCACAGAAACTGAGGAGACCCACTGCAGCTGAGGAAACAGCGACACACAAGGTACACAGCACCCCGGCCCCACCAGGCCTTCCCATGCTATCTCCCAAAGTTCTTGTAGAATTTGAGAAAGCCACACCAGGCATGGCCCACTCAGTATTGAAAGATGTTCATGGCAAAATAAGTGGCTACAACCAGACGTGTTTGTGGGCCCATTTTTAAATCACTTCTCTCTGACACATGCATCCACTGAGGAAGGAATCTTTTGAGCATGGGCAAGCCATGAGAGGTGCTGGGAAGAGCATCTCGTCTGCTGTGATGCGTGACTTGAGGGCATGATTGGAGCTAGGTTAGTCTACACAGGTTTCCTTTTTCCGCACCCTTGTCTACTTTCTTGCTCTGCCATATGCGGTTTTAAAGTGTGTTTGATCTTTTTATTGCATAGGCCTCAAATTGATCTGAGCTCAAAGGTGGATCCCACATACACGCCAGTTAGCAGAAGCTGCAGGGAAATTGCAGAACCTCCTTTTGCCACCTCTGGGTACAAAACACATGATCTGGGAACTTCTTGAGCTTGTCTTTCTTGCAGAGTAACCCCTTTAGGCTTAAAGTTGCAGGGTCCTAAAGGACATTCTCCCCATCTGCTTAGTGCCCAGAGATAACTCCACCCAGTAGCCAGGAAGTGCCCAGCATCGCACGGCCAGCTGGGCCACCACCAGGCCACCACCTCCCTACCTACCTCCTTCATATCCTTCTTTTTTCTCTTCTGTCCCTTTCCATGCTCGCTTTGACCTGCTCCTTTTCCTAGTCCCCCGAGTGTCTCTCCTTCACCCTTTTCTTTCCACAGTTTACCGTGGAGATTAAACAGAAGCCCAAGTTCAAAGCACTTGCCAGAATGGACATCTGCCCATCTCCTCATCTTTCCCATCCCTTGTGGCGTCTGAGTTAGTCAGTTCTCCATCACAGTGGCAAAGCTTTGTTCTCGCTCCCGGGTTCAGAGCCTTCATCCCTCATCATCTGGTCCCTCACCTCAGGACCAAGGGGAAGCAGCACATGATGCCAGTAGAAGCCTGTGGCAAAGGCTGGTACTACTACACTTCATAGTGCCTGGAAGCAAAGAGAAGTAACGGGCAAACGCTAGAATCTAGTTATTCCGTGCAAACTGGAGATGTCCCTCCAACGCCTGCCACAGTGCCACCTACCTCCACTGGCCTACCGTCAATGTGAGGCCAGAAGAGGCACTCACAGACACAGTGGGTCGCTAATCGCCTCGATATCACGCACCCAATCAAGTCGCCCATCAAAGTGAGCTACCATGCACTCCAAGCCACGTTCTAACCTACTTTCTCTTTCTCATTCCACCCCCACCCCCCGTGCCTGGAGAGCACAGTTGTGCAACACACTCACGGCCTAGACTGACACCTTTGTACAATAGGAAATGTAGGTAAAGGCTGGCAAGATGGCTCCATGGGTAAAGGTGCTGGCCACCAAGCCTGACAACCTGCCTTCCATCTCCGGGACACACATGGTACCCTCTGATCTCCACATGTATGCCGCGGCATGCATATGCCTTCCCCAATTAAAAAAAAAAAAAAAAGTTTTAAAAATGCAATGGGTTGAAACACAAAATAAATTTAAATCCATGAGCTTATAATAATGCTCAAAACACATTTAAAAAAAGGGGGGTAGGTTAGTGGCCAATGAAGCTCTGAGCAGAAACGACCCCATCCTGTGTCACCTTCAATATAGACCTGTACGTGTTCTATCACATCATTCTAACCTGTCATGATTCCCATACATGGAACAAGGAGAGGCCTGGGTGCTCCCCTGCCATGCCTAGCCTTGGTGGACGCACTCTCCAAGAGAAACATTTTCATTCAATTTGCTTCTATCTTGAAAAACAGAATGAGATCCCCCGATAAGACGCTGCTAGGTAACACAGCCAACCAAAAAAAAAAAAAAAAAAAAAAAAAAAAGCCCAGTAGAAAATTGTGGGACTGAGGATATTTTGAGGAACTCATCATGCAGGAATCTAGGCAGTAATCAGTTTAAACTGAGAATCTTTTGTACCTTGAATGTTCCCAAGGAAGAAAATCAAAGACTAAAAGAGGGAGATGCGCTGCGTCCCCCTAACCGCTACACTTTGCATGCCTCTTCTGTGTGCTTAACACATGCATTTACCCATCAGTTACGTCAATAACGAAGGCGAAACGAGGCGCTTCACTTGTGGCACAGTTGTTTACAGTGATTGCTTTGAGCATGGTATATATTTTTTTCCCCAGCACCTTTTCCCAAAGTGTCTCATCACCAACATGTTCGGTTGGTCATTCTCTGCCCTAAATCCCCAAATGAGATCAGTTGCCGCCTTGCTGCTTTCCTCGCAGCTGACTCAGCTTCTCTGGAGAGCTGTGGTGTCTGGCCCTGACTCCTGGAAGCTGCAATAATGACAAACGCTGGAAAACCAAAGTCAAGCCGAAGGATTGCTGGGCTTGGCTTTCCTTCCCGGCCATTGTCAAAAGCAAACCTGGGCAGAGCATCTAATTCCAAAGCAGCCCTGGATCTTCAGTCTCACTGGGGATCTCAGAGGTTGTGAGGGGAGATGTTTGATGTTTTCCTGCACTTGTGAGCACTTGGGAGGGAAGACAGAGGGCCAAGTCCCACCCTTCCCCTATGGTTCAGCAGCTTGGAGCTTGCAGCTCTCAGAGAACCGGGCTGAGGTGTCCACAGAGGTAAGAAAGCACCCTCCACATAGGCTGAAAGACATTTGGGGTGGATAGAGTCTGTGGTCCCTGCTGTGATGCAGCCTACGTGGAGAGGCCACAGCCCTGCGCTGGCAATCCTGCCCCCTCACTCTGTCTCTTTCCTGCCGCTTTCTCTTGCTTCAGGGAGATTCAGAGAAAAGGCTTCGATTCTCCACAAGATTGCCAAGAAGAAATGCCAAGTGGATGAGAATGAGCGGCAGAATGGGGCTGCCAATCATGTGGGTAAGTGAGAGATATCCTTGTTTTCCCCTGTGGGTAAGGGGAGGTGACACAGAAAGACAGGACCCAGTGTGGGCACCCCTGACTATTTACCAGCCCAGGCCCTTCCTCAACAATGAAATGAGTCCCTCTTCTCCACCCGGGACCAGGCAGGAATGGACATGTATGTCACCAAAGACACTAAGAGAAGTCCATGGGGAGTAGTAATTCTAACCAAATCACCAAGTATTCTCTTCGAGGGGTGACAGGCACTTGGCTTCAGAAAGCCACGAAAAAAAGAGACACAACCAAGTCATTAATGTTTATCCAGGGGTGGGAGTTTTGCTTAACTGGTGATCACATTGTATATCTACAATACCCCCCAAATTTACCACTCACCCCAATAGAATCCTTTAGAATCGGTGTCATCGTCTCTTCCTTAAAAATTCAGCAAGATCATGGCTGGGGAGGCGGATCAGCGGATAAAGCACTTGCTCCATAAATGTGAGGACCTACATCCAAATTCCCAGCACTCACGGAAATGCTGGATGGGAGTGGTGATCCCACCTGTAATCTCAGCATTTAGAAACCAGGGACAGAAGATTCCCCAGGGCAAGATAGCTAGCTAGACTAGACAAATTAGCAAGTTCTGGGTTCCCCCAAGAAACTCTGCCTCAGTAAATAAGGTGGATTATCAACCTCTGGCCTTCATATACATGTGCTCAGGTACACAGACACACAGATACACACACACACATGCATGAACACATGTACACATATCCTCACACCATACACATATACACAGCCCCCCCCCAAAAAAAAATAAAGTCAGGCAAAATCAGTCTAGGTCTGTCTTGGCTGACTTCTCTAGAACTCCTGTGTGACCAGATTGTGACATTCAGGCAGCTTATTTTAACTTGGGGCATCATGTTCCCTTTCTCCTGTCTGTAACTATAATATAGCTCTCAATTCCAAATTCAGACTAAATTTAACCTAATCTGGATCCATGCTGTAAACGAAGCTATTGCCCAAGTGACTAAAATTATCTGCAGACAAATCTCAACAGTTTTGCCCTCAAAATACTCCATAGACGACTTCCTGCCTCTCCTACCATCCAAGGAACAGACAATTGAGTCAATTGAGTATTTATGAAGAACATGGACAGGAATCAGTTCAAATGTGGACCAAGATTGGGCTATGAATTACAAGGTTTCACCTGACCCCCTCTGTTTCCCTGAGCACATTCTCTTAGAAGGAGCGGAGTTCGGGTTTTGTGTCAAGGTCAACGGGGAAAGTTATTGCCTGGTTACACTCTGGTTGTTGTGTGTGAGTTTTGGGTTCGATCCCAAAGGCAATTTTTTCTACTCCAGCTGTTGGTTTTTCTTTTGTGGGACGAAGTAGCTTGGAACAGAAGATTTATGTGGCTGGGTTCACTCCCAGACCGACTCTTGCAGACTGGTGACTGGAGACTTGGATTTAATCATCCGTAACAGAACTCCTAGGAACTCCACTGCCGACAGGGCCAGAGAAGGACATGGCAATCAAAAGGAGTGTGTATGGAAATCTATGCTTTCCAAAGTAACCCCGGGATTTAGCTCCCTATTGTCTGTGATAGTAAATACTGTGGCTACAGGCACACTCAAGTTAGAGGCTGTGTCTGCCAGGTAGGCTCTTACTTGTCTGCGTCTCTCCTGGACCACCCAAACCTCCTGTGGATCCTGTGATTCTGAGGTCAAGTTTGGCCTCAGCAATCTGCTATGGGGGGGGGGTTCCCCCGGATTCTTAGCATGTTTTGATTTAAATAACTGGATGAAACATACTGAGATAACCCGACTGGTTACAGACAGCAGGACAGCCCACACCACTGACCAGATGAGTCACCGGTGGACAGGGAGAACCCGAATTTCCATACTTTCCTTACCACCACTTGTGTCTCAGGACACCCCAACCGAATTCATGAGCATTTCCTTAGGATCTCCAGTACTTGACTGCTTCAAGCTAAACATTCTTATGGAGTTTTTTTTGTTGCTGGGGGGGATGTAATAGGGTCTCACCACATAACCAGGCTGGCCTTGAACTTGTGCGATCCTCCTTCATCTACCTACCAAGTGCTGAGATTTTAGGCATGTGCCCCACCTAACTCTCGATTTTCTCATGCACTAGTGGCAGAAATATTTGGTCCTTCTGAAATTGCTAGAGGAAAAAAAACAAACTTCTGTTCTTCTACGAGCATCCCATTGCTCACATCTGGCACAGCCAGGCAGACTGCTGTCCGGCAGCCCTGACTCCTGACTTAGCACCATACAAGCGTTGCCTTCTGACCCTGAACAGAGTTAGTGCCCGTGCCCGTGGAGGCCAGCGTAGAGCGTTGGACCACCCAGAATGTATGTAGTTAATGAGAGTTGTGGCCCTCCCGATACAGGTGCAGGGAATGGAACCCAGTTCTCGGAAGGAGTAGTGGGTGCTCTTGACTGCTGAGCCTTCTCTCTGACCCCAGTAAAAGACTTTCTACTTCACACCCTCTTAAATTCATGTTAAACCTAATGGGGCCTGAACAGTGGCCACCTGGAGGTGCTTCTCTTAGCCCTGAAAAAAAAATCTTGCAAAAGGCCATTGTGGTGACGGCGATCCAGATCGTTCCTTTCTGGCTTGTCGGCTCCACCACGGCTCTGTTCCGAGTGCTTTCCGTACACTTTCCTACCTCTCTGCAGCAGGGGCAGTGGGGGCAGCAATAGTAATGGTGGTGGTGGTAGCTGTGTTAGCGGCAGGGAAGTTCTACATGTGAGGAAACAAATGTCGCAGAGGTTGAAGCATTTGCTTAGGGTCACGAAGTGTAATCTGTGGAGTGAGAAACACAGGCCCGTTTGGTTTCTGGTGTCCCGGCGTCCCAGGGCCTGACCAGGGTCCTTGAGCCTCTTCTGCATTCTCAGGAAAACATGACTGCACTTGCTGATCCATGACCTCTGTCTCTCTCATTCTCTCTCTCCCTCTCTCTCTCTCTCTCTCTCTCACTCTCTCCCTTTCTCTTTTTCTATCTTTCTCACTCTCTCTCTCATTCTGTCTCTCCCTTTCTATCTCTC